ACTTCTCTTGATTTCTTCTATTTCTCCCCTTAACATATAAGAAAAAGTTGTAGGGATTAAAAACTTGACATGTGTCATTTTTATGCCCAAAATGCCCTTCATGTATTTGTTCTTTGGTTTTAGGTTGACATGCTTAGTGAGGTTACTATAGTCAATACACTTTTTTTTAGCTTCTTCATCTATTTTTCCCACTTGGTCTTTGAAAGCGTCTCTGCCGTCTCCGTATTATCCGCTTTTAGCTGTTTTTGCTGTTTTCCCGTGTAGCGCCATGCCTTATCTATACCCCTCACATTTTACTCTTTTTACAGGCGATTTTAAAAGACAGATTTCCTTAATTTCCTGATAGTTTGCGTACGTTCTCTGCCAAAATCTCACAAAATCACCCAATTCTCTGTCGTATCTTTTGACAAAAAAATCAGATCTCCTTAATCTCTCTCTATCATCCTACTGCCCGATCAAAATTGTGCACAACTTTTCTCTGTGGATCCAACGGCGTTGTCGGCGGGTGGAGGTGGTGACGCAAGTCGAAGAGAGGGTCGCACACGCAGCGACGATGTCGAAGAGGGTCTGACCACCGTCAACAGCCTCACACTGCCGTCCTCGGCTTCTTACGCCTTAGCGGCGCCATGGGAGTCCTGTGCACAGTGAGGGGCTTAACGCAATTATTTCTAATTAGTCCGTTTTTCAACGTTAATTGCTATTTTTTTTTATTTTTGGCAGAACGCGATAATGGTGTGTAGCTCGTGAACCACCGGAGTCAGGCGGTGTTGAACGGCGAGGTGCGTGAGGGTCAGGCGGTGGTGGTACCGCTGAACTTTGTATTGAAATTGTGCGCACCCGTTTGTTAAATTATCAACAAAGTTAAGAATTTTGTTCGTGTGTGTTGTAATTGAGGTTAAAATTTGTAAAATCCAAACCATAACAAAATACGCAACCCTCTGGTGTCCACTACAATTTCCAAACTCAAGCCTTTTTCTTTATCTCCTGAAGAATTCGATAGGGGCAGATCAATTTTCAGCATATGGCCTGCTGCATGCCAATGATAGTTGTTGTGACTGGGATTCCTTAAAACATGTTACACAAAAACTTACTGTACACTGTTAACTGATTGTTACATTCTTTTCACGATACTGAAGCAATTTACTTGCCATATCCATGTGCATGTTCGAGAAGGTGTTATTAAGTACAAATGGAACGCTTTACCTGTTGAACAACAAGATGGCATGAAGAACTATATATCTGAAGTTATTGTTAAGGTACTTTAATATCTTTGGGAATGAGTTTTCTGTAACTATGTCGGGGTAATTATTGAAGAGTATGTATCTCCTGATACTTTTGTCATGCTATATTCTCATCGTCTTTCATGTGATGAGATACCCTTTCGGCGGTTGAGCGAGTAAACTGTGCGGCGGCTCTGTCACAGAGGTGGCGGCGAGCATCAAGCGACACTACATCTGACTGCATGTGAAGTCCGCCGGAGCACGGTGGCTATGTATTGGAGCAGAAGGTCTGTCCCTCGCTTTCCTCTTTGAACAACAGACATACAAAAAGCAAAAACTATAATTAAATAAAACTCATCAGAAAAGGTCATATGTGTCCAAGGTTTCTGTCTAAGACTGACTTGTATTATTTTTCATTGTAAGAAGAAACAGAAAGTTGGTTAGAGAATGCTGCAAAGGTCTAATGGGAAAGCAAGTGACCTCAAGAAATCATTCATGTTCCAAGTTTTGTTCTTTTTTTGTTATTCTTTTAGTGTCTGCATAAATGATTGCTATCTAACTCTCAGAAGCTGATGAAGATTACTTTAGATTATTCGGACAAATGGCAACATGAAGTTTCTGGTCTATATTTTGTTGGGTTTGAAATTCTCAAGACTGGAAAATAGGTCCTATTGTGTATTATTTACCCGTCTGAATATTATTATCATATATAATTGTTCATTACAAGATTTGATACTTAATTTTATATTAAGAAAATCTGGGATCAACACATATGATATCACGATGAACGACTATGACTGGTCCATATGGGATTTCAGCTGAATTGAAGACCAAGTTCACACTGGAACTTCTGTAAGAAACTTTTGCTAATATTGAGCTTTTTATGCCTATAGAATTAACCATAAAGGTGAAACTTTATTTTGCTCTCCATCCTCTGTATGTATGCTGCACCTATACAGAGGAAAAGATAAGAATTAGTCACGGCTATAACAAGATTATTTTCGTACATTAAACTACATCATGTGTGTTTGTGTGTTTAGGTTATGCAAACTCTGTTTAGATAGTTCACAAAACTTGACTATAATTATAGGAGGACCGGTTACACATACTAATATGTTTGCTGCGACTTTTATTATTTCTTATAGGAGGACCGGTTATACATACTAATATGTTTGCTGCAAACTTTTATTATTTCTTTACCAGTTTCTGTAACATTATGGTTGGCAGAGCAATATTACTCACCCATTATATTGAAGAAACAATAAATAATTGAATTATTTATTAATGTAATTAAATATTTGATGTATATTAATATTAAGCCTATTCTGGTAGGCGACTTTTTATTTATTATAATAAGAAATTAATAATTTGACAGTTGAGTTTTTTTAAATGTTGTTCTTGTTGTTAATAAATTCAGGTTCGGAGGCTTGAAGCCGCTCTTCAAGACGAGAGGCAGAAATTGATAGATTCGAACTCCGGTTAGAGCTCCAGCCGCAAGAGGCGGAGGGATTCCGACAACACGAATACTGATACGAGGCACTTAGGAAAATGAAGTCCATTGACGAGATGTGAGCGATGAATCTGAAACAGCTCCGTGAAGAGGCTTCGAGTAGAGGAGTTACTGCTGCTAGAAGTAAGGAGCTTCTGGAGAGGCTCTGTGCTGGAGGTGCCAACGATTTTAAAAACAATGGCGAAGGTAATTAAATTTGTCTCTCACTCTATCCGTAGGTATATGTGGTCAGAAAATGGGTTAGCGACTAATTGTTGGTTTGATACAACTGTTGGATATTAATATTTTGTCATTAGTAGGACGAAATATGAGAATGTTACCTGTGATATGCATGCATGAATTTGACTTTTATGATGGATAGTTGGTTATACTCTACTGATTGGGTATTTTCTGATATGGGATTTTCTATTTATCATCAAGAGTGCCGTGGTGCAAACTCTTCTCGAATTGTATTAACCTGTCATTTGTAAATTCTGTACAGTCATACCTAATTCCACTATTGTGGGACATTTTGGTGGTGATAGATGATAGCAAAGATGGTAATGCGCACTTCCATGCACTGCAGAAAGTGAAAACCATTGATGACATGCGAGGAATGAGTATAAAGCAGCTTCAAGAAGAATCTGGCGCACGAGGACTTATTGTCGTTGGCACGAAGGAGCTGCTGGAGAGATTGTGTGGTGATAACCGCAATGTCTCAAATGACAATGATACTGGTATCCAATTGTCTGTTTTTATATGACAAATCATCTGTGCATCCACCCTCCATCTTGCTAATATGGAACATTCACTTGGATTTGTCCAAATTTCGTGATAATAAATCAAGATGATACGTGTGGTTCGTGTTGTCGAATCCAAACTGGCAAAGAAATATGGTGATCATTTTATGGGTTGAATCGTCAAGGTACTACTTTAACAACACCAAACGTCACTTGCAATTTTCTTCATATGACACGCTATTTATCTATTTTTGTTCGTTTCTTTTCGAGCTTTGATGGCAGCTTGAAGGGATAATGATAGGACTACGACATGATAAAAATTGGAGTAAGTGGAAATTAGGTTGCAGTTGAATTTTTTGAATGCTGCAAAAAACAAAAATAATAATAATAAAAAAAAGGAAATGAGAAAACAAAAGTGGAGCAGATTTAGGTGTCTTGATTTGTATTAACTAAGGTTTTCGCTCATATGAAATGGGTTGATTTAGTCTTGCCATGTTTTATTTTGTTTGTATGCTCAATGAGTTAATTTTTGAAACTATGTGTTGAGTATTTTTTTTTTTTTTTTTTTT